GTGATGAATATATTGACTCGCGAAGTAGACGCGGAGAGGGCAAAACGGAGGCAAAGCCGGGAAGACAGGACGTAGAGACGGGGCGAGCTGAGGATGGCTGAGTACGGGGATATCACAGCCGAAAACAAGGGAACAGACAAGAGAAAAAGAAATGTCAGGATGATAGAGGCCTATGGTCAACTTGAGCGAGCATCATGCGTCTCTGTTGGTGCCAGCCACTGCTGTGTGTGATCTTACTGAAGGTCTAGTCCTCGAAACAGGGGCGAGCGGATTCGCATGCAACCAAGAGTGCTGGCACGTCAGGTCAGCTTAAGAGCAGATCACGAACATCTCTCTACAAAGGCGGCTGCTCCCAGCACACACCAGCTTCCGAATAGAACTTGTTTTTCTACTTCATACCCTCGCCAACCAACCTCCGTGATTTCGTCATGCTGCCTGACCTGCCAAGCTTTCCCGCGTCCTGCAGTTGTCACTGCTGGCCTGCTTTCACGCAGTCCTTGCTCATCAAGGTGATCAAGGGAAACGACAATTTCTGACGAATTGCGTGGCGCTCTACGCCCCAGGCTCACCGTTTCTTCATGGATGGAAGCCAAAGCATCTTTACTTCATCACCAGCCATGCCGGTCTTGGCTCCGGCCCGGATATCACACATGAGGTCAGTATGCTGGGGTCGCTTCATGCTGGAGCACTTTCACGTCGACATTCGCACGGATACAAGCAACAATCGAAGGTATCCTTCAACTGATGAACTAATCGAGGAGTAAGCTATCAGCTACGCCATTCTCTAGGAAAATAACTCGTGTTGTCTTCCTCTTCGCTCTCGTCCTCGTCCTCCTCTCGGTCCTCTTCTTCACTCTCTTCGCTTTTGTCTTCGTCCTCCTCCCGGTCCTCTTCTTCACTTTCTTCGCTCTCTTCTTCGTCCAGCCTGTCGTGTATGTACGGACCAACATGTACTAGAGAGCCCTGTTGCGAGCAGGCGTCTAGCCAACCATGATTGACGAAGGAGACTTTGTGGAAGTACGAGAGGACAGCTTGCGGAAGCTTGTTGTATGTCGCTCGCGAGGCCACAAAGTGAGTAGTATCCTTCGAGAGACTAAATAATGATACCCCTCCAAGATGAACGACTTCTTTCTCAAGCTGCGCCTTGGTCATATAAGGGGATTCGTCGGCTACGACAATGCCACAGTTATACAAAGGCCTCCCGGGGTCGAATCGAGCCAGGGTGGTTTCTTCCTCGCTTTCCTCACGGTCTTCCTCGCTTTCCTCACGGTCTTCCTCACTTTCCTCACGGTCTTCCTCACTCTCCTCACTCTCGTCACTCTCTTCGTCATCTGCTTCACTCTCGCCTTCCATGTTTTCCCCAACCGCTGTCGACAAGGTAGCTTCTAAGCAACGAAATATAGCATTGATATGGTCAATGCATTCCATGCGCTCTGCGTCACTCTCGCCCTCCGTTTCTTTTTCGACCGCCTTCATCACACGGAAGTAGAGAATTCGGAGTAGGATGGTGATATTGCCACAGCATTCCACGCGTTGCGCCTCGCTCTCTTCCTCGCTCTCTTCCTCGCTCTCTTCCTCGCTCTCTTCCTCGCTCTCTTCCTCGCTCTCTTCCTCGCTCTCTTCCTCGCTCTCTTCCTCGCTCTCTTCCTCGCTCTCTTCCTCGCTCTCTTCCTCAACTTCTCCCACAATCGCTTCCTCGCTCTCTTCCTCAATTTCTTTCTCACTGTTTTCCTCATCCTCCCCGCGAAGGGTCCATGGTTCTTGAGAGATGGGATATTCAAGGGGGTCCACAAAGCGGCCAGCTGCGAATGAATCTTGAAGCCAGTCGAAAGAGACAGTGACACCGCCTTGCCGTGCCACCTGGAGGCGAGTCTGTGGTGAATCTCGGTCGCGATCCTCAGAAGTGCATAACACGTCGGTGGTTGAGAGGACCCGTTCATGGAACGTCCCGCTGAGCCTCTGGATGCCCCGTTTGACATCCTTGATCGATATCTCAGCTGGCAAGGGGCAGTTGATAGCAACGCTAAAGTTCTTCATCATGGTGATGATCTGTTATATGGTGCTGCACGCGGTGTGGTTGTGTCAATCGCGTCCGAACGTGAGCCAATTGCGTCTGAAGTGAGCCATGTCTTATCTCTTGTACTCGTCTGCTGTGATGCAGGTGTGGGTACACTGTCTGTCTGATCTTACATAGGGAATTTGGGCTTCGAAGATTCATTCTAGAAAGGTCCATTCTCAAATCCCGGGCATGCGTCTGTTCCTGCCAATGAAATTCAAGTTACGCACGTCTTTACGTCAGGCCACCTACAGCCCTGAATCGGACTCAGACGCCGTACAAAGTGCCACAATGTCGAAGCAAACATTAGACCTTGACAAACAGCAGTCGCGCGGCCAGCATCCTGTTCTTGCACTGAGGCGCGGCCGTCATCGAGCCGGGATCGTCATCACTTGTGGTCAGCCAACACACGGTGTCATCATCTTGGGGTGTAATACAACTACGGAAGAGCGGTGGAGTATTGACAGAGCAGACGGTATTGGGAAGAATAGTGTACACGGTCCGCATCCATGAGCTATAGAACTCAGTAACTCCAAGAACTCCTTCCATGGCCAAGTGACCTCCTAAAGAAACCTACACACACAACCAATGCCATGCCTGCCCAAGAGAGGTTTACACCTGGAAACAGCGGTTCGCCAACGAAAGCAGGGCTTGTTTCCGACGTGATGACTCGGTCCCGTGTGGTGCCGTATCGGCGGCTTTAGCGTAAGACATGCCCATGGCAGGGAAGATCTCAGTCTGCTGCTGACGTGTCGTGCCTACCATGTCGCCTTCCAGAAACATAGATGGGAACACTGTGTCTCCCATGTTGACGAAGTCATATTCGTTGAACATGGGAGCAGTCTCATCTGTGTCCTTCCCGCTGCTACCACTCGACAAGGGGCCACTGGACGACGAGCTGCTTGCCGACATGGTGGCCAGTGGCGCCTGAGGCGACACTGACAGCTCTCCGTCCAGGCTCGAATAGGACTCCGCGCCGTCGCTCGAGCTGCCCGAGAGACAGGTAAAGTAGGACGACGGGGGAGATCCGACTGCATTGACGACCAAGTCAGCCGCGTTGGCTGCGTCGCCCGCGTCAGTCGAACCTGTCAAGTCGGCCGAAGCGGCCGCCGCAGGCGGGCTGCTAGGTGCTGGCGTTATGGCGTGCCTGGCTGCGACCGTCTCAAAGTTGTCGGGCCCCAAGATGGTCTCTTGTGGGATAGGAGACGCCGTCAAGCTTCGGATCAGACCATGCTGAGACTCGTAGGCCTCGAGGTGGCCATCGTGGCCGATGACCAGCACCGCCACTCTGGCTTTGTAGTAGCGGTAGAACGTGTCCGACTTCTTGAAGATGCCGGTCTTTCGGTTTTCGAACCCTTTGCGAAAGTCTTTGTTGCTCTTCCCGCGCGTCATGGTGGAAGAACTGGCCTCGTGCGGAGACAATCTACCAGGGTGACGCTTAGTGGTGGACAATCAATAACAGAACCTGGCTTGAAAGAACCCTGATCGCTGCGAGCCGCTTCTGCGTTTTCGTTCCTTTGAACTTTCGCCTTTGGCTTTTTGCCTTGTGACACAGGGACGAAGGGAACGAGGGAGGGTCGTTGAATTTATGTCGCCTGCGGTAATCCCATCAGCAGCATTGCGGGTGTTCCGGGGGCTTGCGCTGTGTGGTTCTATTTTCGTGGAGCCTCCTCGACTTGGGGCGACTGTATAGGCCCGGCGTCTAGAAAGCAACGCCGTCGCACGGCCCGGTTGGTGTTCAGGTCCGGCCTCCGTCTTTTGCAATCTCACATCCAGCCGCCGAAGCAGGTCCTCCGAAACAGGCGAGTGGGGCTACGGGCGCGGCAACACGGCGTTTCGCATGGGGGACCGGCGCACGGGACTGGTCAGGCGGACGTCCAGGCCACCGCCCGTCGTTGCCGCCCGTTTATTTTGAGCAGGCGCTGGTAGCCTCCAATCTTGATGCCATTTTCGACATTATAGGTAACGGCCAGCGCTTGCGATCGGCGCTTATCCATCGGAACGGCGTACGCGCCATGTCACAGAGGGCGCCTGGGTGAGCCGTCTTGGATCTCATCTTGACATCAATTGCGGGTTTGATCCGTGCTGTCACGGGCCCTGGCGTCGCTTCAATTGCTTTGTCAACTTTGGCATCTCTCCCACCTAGCACACCACCAAGCACGCATCAAGCGCCCCATAGGCTCTGATGTAGCCCCTTAAACCTGGATCATGCCCGGGCGGCGACCAGGCATCATTCGGGCGTTCCTCAATCTGCCCATCTGCCCGTGTGCCCTTTGCCACTTCCGCTCCTCGCCCCTACAACACTGCCGACTGCGACAATGGAGGCTTTGCACTACTACATGCTCTCTTTCTACATCCTCATAGTTGCACACCTCGTAGCCCGCCCTCTGCGGCAGGCCTTTTCCTACGTACGCGTGCTTTACGCCCAGCATCTGGCCTATCCATTGCTCGTCCGCCGGCAGCACTGGACGGGTGCCACCCGATGGGAGGCTCTGGCCGTCCTCTTGTACGCTGGCGTAAACATCGCCCTTCTGCTGTACCCCTTCAGTGCCCTACCCACGCTGAGAGAGGTGGAGAGACGAGCAGGCGTGGCTGCGCTTGTCAATCTGGTTCCCCTCTCCATCGTCATTCGAACGAACGTCCTCACCTCCCTGTGCAACGTACCTCTCGGTACCGTCAACCTCGTTCATCACTGGATCGGCAGGGTCGCCATCGCCCAAGCGTTGATCCACGCTTTCATGGTCCTGGCTCTGCGGCCGAGGCCTGGTGCCGTTGTCGCGTCGGGATACATCGTAAGTGGCACTTGTCGCTCGCCGAAAGGCGCTGTACAGAGTAAAGACTAAGATCTTGCCAGGGACTCAGCACGCTGATGCTCATTCTGCCGTTGTCTGTGAGTGTAACACGTCGGCGTCTTGGCCGCTATTTCTTCGTCACCCACCTCGTCCTGGCAATCTCGGCATTGGCCGGTCTGGTGTGGCATGCTTATCTTCTGCCCGCGCTCGCAAGCCGTGCGCTCATTACGGTGGGATGTTCTTGCTGGATTGCTGCGGCTTGCGTTCGCGCCGTCTGGTGGTATCGACAGGTCACAGTCCGCGTGCTCCGACTGGAACTCGATGACGACGTCGCCCTCGTGACCGTGCACGCGGACGCGCCCATCCGGGCCTCGGCTGACGATCATTTCAACATCTACTTTCCGGCCTCTTTCCCCCGCTCGCTCGTGCCGGGCGTCCACGGCCACGCGATGAAGCCCTTGTGGTTTAAGCCCGGCGATCTGGCCTCGCCGGATGGGGTCCGCACCATCTCGTTCCTCATGGGGCGCGATGGCACACTCGCGAGCCAGCTCGAGAGACTGGTGGAAGGCGCTGCGCTGAAGCTGGGCGGCCCCTACGGACAGAAGTCGGACTTTCGCCAGTACGAGGACGTCATGCTGGTGGCCAAAGGCGCGGGCATTTCTGGAGTGCTGCCTTATGCGCTGCAGCTCGCCGAGCGACGGAAGAGCGATAGCGAAGTCAAGAAAGACATCCAGCGCCTGCAGCAGGAAGAGACCGAGCTCGTGTTGAGCGCGTCGAGCGCGGCGGGGGAGCACCGACAAAGCTTCCAACGTCGACTGGACGCGGTTCGCAAGGAGCGAACATCTCTGTCGCGTGTGCTCTTCCAAGACAAAACGCAACGAGTCGACCTGTTGTGGATGCTGGAGAACGAGAAGCAGGAAAGATGGACAGCCGGCTTCTTTTCTGCATTGCAGCGTCTAGACCCAAACAACGTAAGTCTGCCTGTCCTTCTTCCCGTGGGTGGCTGCTATGACGTGAAGATGCGGTGCTACTTTCAATTGTCGTACTGACGCCGCCTCGTTCCAGAGATTACTTGTGGTCTGGTGTCTGTATCCCGGCCCCCGCACCTCCAGGCCCCGACCGTTCCAGCCTTCTGATCACTGGAAGTGCACCTCTGCCGCGCCGGGCGGGGCAGACGTCATGGAGATGATGACGAACAGAATTCGAGAGAAGAGTACACGGACGCGAGGCGAAATGATTGTCATCAGTACGTGACCGTTCTTTCCTGCCGTCGTGCCTGCTGGGTGCTTCGGAGACTAATCCTGTTGGCATGGTTCAGATTGCGGAGACCCAGATTTTACCATGCGCATGCGTGCTGGTGTCATTGCGGCCATGGGCGGCCGCACGTTCATCGAGTTTGTTGAGTCCGAGTATCAGCCGAGGTCGCATCGACCGATTGATGCCGTCGTTGCGGGTCAGGCCGGCGGAAGGCGTGCTGGCAAGAGGGTGTGGGCCGGCAAGAGAAACGCGGCGTAGAGGGCAGTGACGAGAAAACGGCTACATGAAGATGCCTAGAATAGAGTTTTTCAATGCTGAATCGTAGCCACGAGCCTTGCCGCACGCGTCTCCACGCGTCGCCACGCGCCTTGTGCTCAACATATGACCGGACACTACTTTCGCGATGTCTGTGTGTATTGTACAGTACAGTATGTGTGTCCAGCAGAGTGTCTTGCGGTATGGATGGGTTGCTCTGGCGAAGCCCTCCAGCCCAGATGGGAACCTAGCTTTTTGTCGCAATAGATTCAACGCCCCACGTCTTCCATTCGATCTTGATCCGGTTCCGTTTGCTCTCTTTCATCGCCGCCTCTGACATTCGTTCAGCGGAACTGAAAATAAATCCCCTAGATGTCGGTTGTGACTTTTGACTCGCACTAGCCTGTTGCTTTCGGCAATTCGTTTTCTTTTTCTGGGCTCGCTGCGAGGCAACGCAATCGACCTATAAACCCACGCAGCTCCATCCAGGTTTACTCTCATCATAACATTGTCAGACACAACTTGCCCCCTCTGGTTCCATTCACTACAGACAATCGATATGGCCCCTAAGCAGAAACGTGAGACGGACGGCGATTCATCTAAGCCGCTCTCCGGTTGCGTTATCACCGTCTGTGGCAAGTTCAATCGAACACACCAGCAGATCGAGAAGGATATCAAGACGCTTGGAGGCACCTACAAGAAATCCTTCTCCAAGCAAATTACGCACCTCATAGCCACCCGGGAGTCGTACAATAAGCCCTCCGACCTTGTTAAGAAGGCCAAAAAGCAGGACGGCTGTAAAATCGTCGATGTGAAATGGCTGGAGAAGTGCTCAAAGTCCGGGTCGAAGGTCAACACCACACCGTACCTTCTCGAGCAGCAGGCCGAGAACAAAGAGGACATCTCCGACAGTCAAACCGGCGACGATGCCGTCAGTGAGTCCGGCAACGACTCTAGCGACGACTCTGGCGACGACTCTGGCGACAACTCTGGCGACGACTCTGGCGACGGCTCTGGCGACGGCTCCGGCGACGGCTCCAGCGACCAAGCCGAGGACGATCTGAGAAAAAATGAGCGGCATAAGAAGAAAGTAAAGGGCCGAGCCCTTGAAAACATGTACATCTGTGCGATTGACACTCTTAAAGACCAAAACGTGGAGCAGTTGAAAAAGGAGATCCGCGCCTTGGGGGGGCGTTATCAGACGAGCGTTACAAGGAAGACCACCCACCTCTGTGCATCGCAACGCCAATTCGACACCCTTCAGAAAGACATCTTGTATGCGCGTGACAACGGTGCTCTTATCGTCAGTCTATCGTGGCTCAACGACACGCTCTACTTGAAGGAGCTTCAAAGCACTGACAAGTACGTCCTTCGAAGCAGCGAGAAGACGAGGTCGGAGGGCAGCCCGAGGAAGAGGACGTCCCCAAAGAGTAATCGAGAGAGCCAAGAGGAAAGCAGTGAGGACGAGGAAGAGAGTGACGAAGAGCAGCACAAGCCTCCTACCCGTTCGACCACGCACAGAGCACGGAACAGACGCATGGCAACGCCGCCGGACTCCGAAGGTCGTCGATCCACCACACCCGCTAAGAAGCCGGGTCTGTTCTGGAGCACCAATACGAAAAAGCTCCTCGACATGCCCCTGCACCCGCCCAAGGATCCGGCACAAGTTGGAAGTAGTTTCATCCAGCTTGTATCCGATCCGGACCAGAAGACGGGCTCGAAAAACAAACCACTCGACGGGCAGATCGTGACGGAAGTGTACAGAGGGCAACTTCTGGTTGCAGCACCTGGGTTGAACAAGGAATATCCGGAATCCATGAGAGCCTTTCTCGTGCAAGGCAGTCGCTATGCGGGACACAAGGCAAGCTTTCGGCAACTCGGCAAACTAGCCATGCCGTCGGGCACGAAGGCTGACTTTCCGGGACTGACACTGGACAAAATGAACGTAGTTCTTGTGGCATCCGATGAAGCTGAGAGGGTGTCCCTTGTGCTGTTTCTCGTTGATGGTACGAAATATCTGCAGCTTGCTTCTCGCACAACTCTGAACGACATTCTGGGCAATAAGAAGGGAGATCAGATCGTGATCGGGAGGAGACAATTGGCCGGACAGAATGTTCCAAAGAAGATGAAGGCGCTCGAGGTTTCGCCTGAGGTGTGGGACATGCTTGAGAGGAAGAACGACGGGGAGACTTCGTAGGCTGTTTGCGCTCCTTGGATGTCGCTGGGCGAAGTATCTGGAGTGCCATTAGAAAGTTGCCGTATCGTGAGTAGTACTGTATCTCATACATTGATTCTGTAAGCCACGCAAGTCCTCATTCGTCGAATGTCGCGAATCACGTCTATGCCTGTCCGAACACCGTGCCACTGATGCTCGCTGCTTTTTATTGTTGTTAATGTTCCTCATCAAGAGTCAGCATTACGTTGGGCTGTTTCATCATTCAAACAGTTTAGTATGCTGTTATTAATAGGACATGAAATTATGACAAGTTCTACTCTAGGAGGGCAAGAGGTTTGCCTTGTTCCACCCATGGATCACACGAGCCCGGCAAATCTTGTAGAAACGACGTCTTCTCGTTTCCAACTATTATTTTCCTGACGTAATACGATCTGTCTGTTTTTTAATTTGTATCTTTTTGCCGTCTGGGAGGCCATAAACAGTCACTACGGATGCTGCCGCGCTTTCAGAAGCCAAGTTGAGTAGTGGTCCACGCTTCCTTCCCACGTACGTCTACTTGAAGGCCAGCCTTCTCAATTTCCTTGAACGCTACATATCGACGCATTGCTCTTCATCGAGCATGCTTAGACATTATTTCATCTGTGAATAGTTGCTCATTGCCAAGTAAAATTGGACTTCTTCCTCTAGTCGCACTGGCTCAATGTTGACGTCCCAATCCAGAACGGCCAGCAGGTTTTTTTCGCCCTTGTTTACTTCGTGCTTCTGAAACCCTAATATCTGTCTATCGCCTTCGAAAATTCGACTTCTGGTAGTCCAGACTTGATTAGCAAACGCGTGATCCCGTTGGCACTTGTTGGCAACCATCAGACAACTCAAGATAACAAGATGGTTTGTGCACCTCCGGCCACGTCTCTTTATCCCGAATTCGGACAATTTATCGATAAAGAGGCCAAGATAGACCCGCGATGCCATAAGTTCCAAAGGTGTAAGTTTAAGGCGTTTGACAAGTTTGGTGATGAAGACTTCTAGCGAGGGAAGATCCAGATCCTCCGCACATGCAGCTCCAGTGGCATCAGGCCCTGTCGTATCACTGTATGTCACGGTAGAAGCAAGCGCGGCTACGTGGGCAATCAATTTCGACTTGACACCCTCGCTTTGGAACCACACGAGCACGTCGGACTGCTCCATGTCGAAAGGTTCTCATCTAGATCAGGTGCGTGATAGCGCAGAAACATGGGTGGACGGCAGAGTGTCGCTTTTCATGTAGGCCGGCAGCGGCCAGATCACAGCGGCCTAGGCAATTCTGCCTCCAATATCTGTTTTCTCATTTAGATTCGTCTCCATGTTCATTTTCCTTCAGACATTCAATATGGGCCTGTGCGGTCGGGTAGTCCGAACTTCGCCTGCATACTCACAAGCGACAAGCTGATTCAAGTCACAAGCACATGAGTGTTAATATAAACACTGCAGCTTCCGAATGTGCGGAATAGGATATATTGCGACGAGCCGGTATTACCGATGCTCAGCTCGATCAGCGTTCTAGTCCGGGAACTAATGAAGGAGACATTGTCTCTCTTTTATCCTGAGGTTTCTGCCGACTGACCTTCCCATCCTCACCATGCGTGTTGACATGACCGTTCCGGAGAGATTCGTTCTACCTGAGTTATTAGAAGATGAGGGAGAAATTCAGTTGTGGCCACGCCCGTTGGCGTTGCCTCTACGGCGCTCCTCTCAGAAGCCTCAGGACTCTTCCGAAGCGGCGTTGAATGCAAAGATCAAGGGTCTTCGCGACGAGAACGACAAATTGAAGCAAGAGATGTACGCATTGCGCGACAAGCAGCGCAGTAATCACGGACGCCTGGAAATCCTGCGCGAGCAGGGAGGTTATCAACGACAGGCGCTTCGGGAGCAAACCAGGGAGATAGCGGAGGTCATCAGCGTAGTGGGGGAGGTCTTTCTCGAGTATGAAGACTGGGTGCAAAGGTCGATGGGCTTCGGGGTATCTTCGCCCCGAATGGAGCCTCCAAGCAGTTAGATGGTGAGCGGAGCGAGACGTGCTTCTCCTTCGGATGCGGCTTGCGTGGCACAATCAGCAGTCAGAATA